AATGAATTAACCAGCTCCATTTGTAGCTGCCATTTGTCCTCATTCATTGTTAGCAGCCTTCTTCAAACTAACATTTGATAAAAATTAAAAGATTCTCATGTAGTCTATTGGACGGTACACTTAACACTCAAAAAAATAAAACATGTCCCTAAGCATAATAATCCTAACTTAAACTTTCTGACAATGTTGTAAAAATAATTTACTTGTGTAAGTGAATAAAGATAATCCAAGAACCACATTTGCATATAAAATTCTCTTAAAGAGGCCAGTAATCCAATTTTTTTTCATTAGTGTTGCACTGAGAGCACGCCTAACAAAACGCCTGTTCAAAAACCAGCAAACTGGCATCAGTCAAATCAGTGGATCTCCTTCACTTACTACCTTTGCTTATCTATTGAAGGGTTACAAATACAGACTGAAAAGGCAAATTAACCCTCTGAAGACAGGGCACTTCTGAAATAAAATGGTGTTTTAGGAAACTATTTTCTGAGATTAGGCTTGAAGAATAATAGTGCTAAATATTCTATTTGAGTTTGAAAACTCAAAGCTTCCTTAGTTAAAACAATATATGTCTTTGATAGCTTATATTAATGGGTATGGTAACTTTGCAGAGCATTGTTTATGAATATACTACATACATAGTGCTGGGTTTAATATTTTATTTGAATGATGTTTAATGTTATGCAAAATAAATTGTTCTGTTACATCCACTGTGACATCAACTAAAATGTGAACTAGTTTGCATAGGTTAGTACTTTGGGCAGCATGATGTTGCTCTAGCCCACCAAGGCTTAAATATTCACAGTGTAGAGGAAGAAACAGGAATTAAAGCATTTCTACTAAAATATACTTTAATAGCTGGTGTTAATTTTCTGCATAACAAAAGCCAAATTAAGTTGATACATCATATGATCCAAGAGTAAGTATATCTGTCCTTTGAAAAACAATTGTTACCTTCATAACTGTATACTCCCAAATGCAGTACAGTTTTGCAAAATAACTAAAACTTTACACACTTTAAAACAAACATAAGCCAAACTGCACAGCGGTTCATTTTTGCTTTTTATATCACACTGCAAAAACCAACAGCTGAGAGAGTTTCCACATCATGCTAATCAATGGCAATACAGTCATTGCTGTCTTCCAATGGTCTAGCATTTTCTAAGAGTAATATTAAATACACATGATTGAAATGCTACAGTATAGCTTTTTTTCCCCCCTAAAATAATAATAATTAAACAAATGTCAACAACAACTGGATTACAACTTAAGTACAATATGCAGATTCTATTTATCAGACACAAGAAGCATATGAAATTCCTTTGAATATACTGTTGTAGTGCAGGCAGTTTAGGAAATATAGCTTTCAGGTTTTCTTTCAAAAGGAGAGATGGGGTTCCTATAGTCTAAAGCTGGAGAAAATCACTAAAGCATTGCAAAATGTTTTATTCTTCTACAGCTCACCAGTACTTTGCATTTGCCAGCACATCAGTTTGGAGATCTTCTTTCAACAGCATCTTTTGTCTGTTTCAGTATATCATTTAAACATTTACTAACTAAAGCATATTCTGTATTTTAAATGGAGTATTAATCAACGTAATTAAAATCTAACATTTTATACCCTGTACCACTTTCTGCCAGACTTCTGTATTTGTCATTCTTTTTCATTGTACAAGACAACATGCAGTCACTGTACAATGAAAACTAGAATTATTACCTTTCCCAAGTGTTGGAGACCTCCATATCCCCGAGGAACACTCGGTAGGGACACATTTGTCAAAAATATAATCCATGGGAGGTGATTGTCTGTCAAATCCCAATCTGCTGAAGTGGTTTATGGTATGTCAAATGTAATCAAGAAAACCCTGTTTCATCAAGATTAAATGCTAATGTTCCATAATGAAAAATTACAACTGCGGTATATGTAAGTAGCTTTGTTTAGGAAATGAAGATCAGTCTGGCAAGAAAGAGTAATGAAAAGCAAGGCACCCATTTGTTCTTGTATATATGTATGAATATGCTCTATGTTGTCTTCTACACTTATACTCGTGTTAGCAAGAATTTCAGCACACTGTATCTTCTTTATTTCTAAAATGCTTAAAATGGGAATGTGTGAACTTCCAACCTGAACTGTGGAACATCTTGGGAAATTTGGCTCCTTCAAAGCCTTTTCCTTTCCCCAGAAAAATGTTGTCTACAGGAAGAAAGTACAGTGAGGAGAACATGCTGTGTTAAAAAGGAATATATACTTTAAAGGTGACAAGACAGCATATAACATCCTTTCACCCCTATATCCCACTGCATGTAACAGGCTCCAACATATGCCTTGTAAAACCTGTGCTGGCACAATTTAGTTGCTGACTTACTTTCCCAGATTTTAGATCTCAAAAAACGTTTCTATAATTGCACTCTGATCATTTTGGGCCTTTGATAGCATTGCTTAAAACAAAGCTGTATAATGACACTAAAGTTTGTTTTATATCAAAAAGCAGGAACCATTCCGTATGAACACAAATTACTAAGCATATACAACATAAAAACCTGACTGCATGAATAAGTAACTTAGAACAGATCTTAATAATTCTGCTGACATACCACTCTCAAGAGAAATACAATTCACATACTGTTTTGTTTTCTTGACCTTTTTTTATTTTGCAAATTGCTTTAGCTGCTTTGCCAGGCTAATGAATATTCAAAATTCATAAAGGAAATTTTATTTCCATTGTTTAGCATAACATAGTCCTCTAATGTCATCAAACGCTCATTTTCTGATTTACTTTTCACTATACATACAGTGTTCAACACTGCAAGCCGTCTCTTCACTTAGGAAGAATGCTAGTGTATTTATAGGTGGAGACTTTCTTTTTTATAAGTCACTAAAAGTTGCAACTTGGTGCAATATATCCATCCTCTATATTTCTTTTTATTCATATCTGGTAAACAAACTGACAATTTGTTTTTATTTTTGTCAGCATTAGACAGCTAATAGAGAAGCACAGCAGCAAGTGATAGACAATTCTGCCTCAGGCATCATCAGAAAAATTTGCCAGCCATCATAAGATGGGATTCCTCTCCTTGCTGCTGATGGCTGGTGATGAAAACCAACACCGCAGCAGACTGCTTGCTTCAGAGCTTCTAGCTCAGCTTACCACATCAGTCTTTTGAAAAAGCCATTTGACTTGCAAAGCTTGCTAATTTAACGTTGAAGTCACCAGTAATGCATAAGGGTCTGTTGCAGCAGCAGCTCTATATGCAAAACTTTCAAGACTTTTAAATGGCAACAGTATTACATCCCTTGTTTTAAACCAAGTTTTTTGAAGTTAGATGTTCCTGGTCAGCTTTAGTCTTGAAATTAGGCAGCTGACAAGAAAGCAGAGGCAATTACAGAGTCATGGATATGTTTTAATTTTATTTTTTCTAATGCAGTCATTCCACCCTCTTTGGCAGCTCGGATCAGACCTGTGTTAGCAACACCTAAAAAAATTGCATAAGCTTTCCAATTCCTAATTGTATGCAAATATAGAACTAGCAGATATTTGCACTGACAAATTTCAGTTGACATAGCAAATCCCTGCTGCTTTCCTTCTTTAAATAGTTATTGCAGGCTTGCTTACTTTGTGAAATGAGAAATACAAAATTGTCTATAAACTCTATATTTAAATCTACTTTAAAAATTTCAGAAATGGAAGAAAGCCAGTGTAGGCTCAACATTCTGACAGCTACTCCAAAATTAACTTCTCTAGCACATGGCTGAACACCACGTAAGATACTATCAGCAAAAACATTTTCTTCCTTACACATGTATGCATCCACATGAGTAAGTTCTCACGTGAATCCTTAACTCTTTTGTCCTTCCTCCCAGAGTTTCTCCCTGATGCTCCTGGCACCCAGTCAAAGCAAAAGCAACTTCCCTGTGACCCAAGCCTGATGACACAGTCCCTCTTTCGGGCCCATTATGTCACCAGCTGTTTGATCCTCTCCTCAGCCTCACAGACTGAGTCCTGGATCCCGCAGTTCTGATCGTAAGTTAATGGACACCAAATAGCGTATGTGAAGGTTTGTCAGCAAAATATTTTTACTGTTTTCTACGGATGGCTAAACTGAAGCATGGCGGCATAGAGTATGTTGGACTTCTGTTTGGTTAGTTTTCCCTTCAGTGTCAGTTATGAGAAAGATTAAATCAGTAGAAGGGGACATAATGTTTCTCCATCATTAATCCTTTGGCAAGCGTACAACCCACTGTTGGATCACCAAGATTTTTGGAGGAGACTGAAGCAACAGGCCATTGAGCTGAAACGCAGTACAACAACCAGAGCTCTCCCTCCACTCCTCACTGGAGGTGCAAGCACTTCTGCAGCAGGCGTGGGTACGTTAGCTCATCAGCAAAGCAGCCATTAAGCGAGTTACCTGTGGCAAGAAGGAGGGACGTGACTGTAGGCTTTGTGTGACTGCACAGCACTGGGGTCCCACACAGGATATTTATTTACAGCAGTACAGGTGACAGTAAAGGAACTAACATGAAGTACTGGTTGTACATTGCCCTAATGGAAGTTTCTATTTAAATACTAAGTATTATTAGAAGGAAACAGAAGACTTGACAGGTTTTATACTCTAGATAGTCTTTGCAAGGAATTTTCTGTGGAAAAGATACCGAAGAACCATGAATCCAGGCATGGATCTAACTGACGGACTAGGATGCAAGCAAAGCTGATAGAAGAGGTCACTGTTGGAAATAAGAAAAAATGGGTAATCCAGGAATAGATGTGGGTAAGCAAAGGTCAGGAAATTTTTGCTGTCAAAATAGACTTGTTTACTTGTTTACTTGTTTACTTGTAAGGCTGCTGGGCAGTAGGGTGGTTTATTTGTTGGGGGTTTTTTACTAGCATATTACTTGTCATTATTTCAAATGATTGAATTCTTTACGCAACATTTTTATTTTTATTAGGATGCTAACTGCTCAAACTTTAGACATCTCCTTAATAATTTGAAGATGTTTTCAAACTCAGTGTGTTAACCTCCTGTGACTTCAGAGTGCCGTAAGAAGCGAATCGATTTTATGGTTGTTATTATAAAGAGAAATAATGTCTTTGAGGTGTAAGGAAAAGGTATTTCCCCTTCAAAGCTAATTGAAATATTTATAGGATTGGCAGCACGAGGCTTTCATAGATGTTTTTCATTTTGAGGAAGCACTATTATAAGCAATGGTGTTTCCAAAGCTCTGAGCTTCTTGTTGATTATCTTTACTTTAAAGGACTCTAAATTGAATTCCGAGTGAGAATGCAGACTGTTATAGCATTGATAAAGTAATGAACATGTATTCTTAAAAGATTCTTCTAACTTTTTCTAAAAGGTTAGATTTTGAGTAAATCATAATAAAGCTTAAAGAACTAGAGACAAAAATTAGTTAACAAACTCAATATAATTTGCTGGAAGCATTCCTGTTTTCCCAGTTCTCTGAACAGTACCATACATCCAGCCATCATCAATTGGTTGCACATTGATGATATAATCACCATCCCTGAAGGAAACTTCATCTTCATCTTGAGCACTGTAGTCATACATAGCTCTGTATGTTCTCTGTTGAAGGAAAGAAAAGAAAAGTTGTAAAGTCTCAAGCCTAGACAGAGATAGATTCCTTCTCTTCTTCGCACAAAGAAAATGAAAAGAGCAGGAAAAAGAACAGAGGGAGCAAGGCAGAGAGAGAAATCACAAGTTCCCTGTTGAAAAGAAACAGTACACTCTCCATCCTGCCAAATAGACAGTGAATACAGCCCCTTTTTCTGAGTACCAAAATCATTATTTTTGTGAACCTACGTTGTCCAAAGTCCTCATACAAACAAATTTCAAGCCATTCACTGCCTCTTGAAATATTCCAACTGTTATTTCATATATTCACTAGTAACAGTTCATTACATCCAGCCATGGCTAGCTGTGCTTCTGCTCCCTATTTGCATGGTTCTCAAATAGCTTCTCCTGTGTCTTCACCACAGAAGAGAAACACAGTCTTCATCCAGGTCATTAGCTTTGCCATCTCACTGAATGTCCTTCATTTCATTAGGATTTTACCCCAGATTAAGAATTAGGAATATATTGTTATCTAATGGAAAAAAAAAAAGAAGACAAGATTTCAAAACATCTGCAAAAATAGTTTTTATGAAGCTCATTTTTGCATATTCAGATAAAAGATTGATCTAAACAGAACATGAAGACCTATCATTAGCTAAGCCAAATTTCTCCACACCTCTGTCCACTGTAAGCCAAGATTTCCATTTTCTTTTTAAATACAGTATTTCTTTCCACTCATAACCAACAAAATGCTATCTTTTACTGGAATTCAAAGTGGATTTTCAAACTCAGAGGGAACAGTTTCCCCTTGTATCTTAACAGCAAAACAAAACTAGCTCATTTTAAAATTTCCAGCAGTACTTTCTTTTCCTTAGTCTATCTCTCGACAGAAGTCAAGAGCAGTTCAAGCATCACTGACAATATTCAATTTCCCTACCAGCAATTTTTTATATGTCACCACATATAGCTGCATTTTTATGGTACAATGATTTAAAGAGAAAAAAGGTAAGAACAGTCAATGTTTGAGTTAATGCCTAGTACTATTGTCTGAACTTTTTAAGAGACAGCAAACTTTGTTCTGCTTCACAGCTGAGGAGAAAAAGTCTGGATTAGTTTTAGTCCATCTCATATACAGTTTTTTGAGGGTTTTTAATGAAATTATTTTCAGAAAAGATGGAGATTCCTCCACACACAGTGAGTAGGCCATTTCTCACATGTTGGAAATGTGGGATCATCTATCCAAACACTATAGGGCAACTCATTGTTACCATTCCCTTGCTAGAAATAAGTTTTTGTCTTGATACTGCCTTTGTCATTGGTAGTGCAGATTAAACACTACAGAGAAATCAACTCCTGGTTAAACACTGGAGACCACTACCTTTTCTGACAAGCCTTCTCTGAACCGTATTTGAGTCTCGGTCTGTGTAATTGTTCTTTGCAAAGCCTTGTAATGTTGCTGCCCTACAGGCTGTGACCAAGAGTGATTTTCAACCAGAGGTATGTGCTTTCTTGGTGGTTTCTTATTGTCTTCCAAGTGTTCATGGAAGGTGATGAAAAAAGCACCATTTTTATGCAGTACATTGAACTAACTAATTAGGAGGGTTCTATCATCATCAAAAATTCCTTAAAGATTCACAAACCAGAAAACTATTAGTCGGAAGACCCTAAGGAATGGCCTCTGCCTTTCAGAATCTCATTTTTTCCAACTGTTTCAACAAATCTCTCTACTGAACCTTAAAACTAACTCAAAAAAATCAGCAAAAAACATGCTATTGCAACAAGGTCAGCAGCAGTTAGCCCTTTAAACAATTTATTTAAAAAAAAAGTCCATTTAAGAAAAATGGTAGCAAGTCCATATCTGGCATAAGGCAGAGAATAGATTTTCCTCTGAACCATGCTTGTATGTCTCCCTTAAATAGGCAAAGACTGGGGGAAGAGATTAAATGTTTTATTAAACTAACATAATTGGAAAAAAACAGAGAAGTTTTTGCTTCTTGCAGAAGGATGCTCACTCATCCTTAGAACAATCATGGTATAGGACATACTACTGCTGTCTCCTCTAAGGCAGCTTGACTACATCACTGTGGTGGCACAGTTGTGAAAACAAGCTGGTAATTTCAAACTTTAAAAAAATTTATTAAGGCCCTAAATACTACCTAAATAAGGCCTAAACTTATGGCCTTAACACCTAATTAGGTGCTAAATGGCTGTCAGGAGAAATCTCCATAATAATCCTGTTAGCATTTAATGCCTAATTATCACTTCAGAGCGCAGTCTGGACTATATAATTGAGAATTACAATGTTTAAAGGACTTAAAGCAGGGATTTTTAAAATGCATTCTAGTGAATTATTCCTGTCAGTAGTGAGTTTAGCAGGTACTGAGAGCACAAGTGGGTGTAAGAAAAGGGTGGGGTTTTGTAAAACAGTCAAATACTCTCACCTCCTCAAAGGTCTGAATTGCAGCTACTGCTTAGACAGAACAATAAGTCTTGGGCATATGAAGTATTGAAGCCCATCTCTCATATTCCCCGTTCCACAGCCAGATGTGAGCTGACAGATACATATTTCCACCTCATCCACAAGTTTATACTTATTCTATGGATTGGTCCTTGCAAGGAAAAGTAGCTGTTGCAGCATCCTTCACATAGAACAGCTATCAAGGAGAACTAATTTGCAACCTAGGGGGTTTTTTCCTACAACTTTTAGTTATCTAAAGACATAAGAACACCCTCTGCTATCTTCCACAGAGGCAAATAGCCTTCAGGTGTCTGTTATAAAACTCTGTATTCTGAGTTTTATTCTGTACTCTGAGTAATAATTTAATTCAGCCCATTATGCTCATAGAAAGTGAGCAAAAGGTAAGAATTGGAAAACAACACAATTTATCTAGGAAAAAGTATCTACCCAGAGACTGTGTTAGGATCATGCTCAAAATTAAATAAACAATAATTTGAAAATTTAGACATCAGAAATTTTATTTCTCACTATAGGATATTAGTGGACATGATCATACAAAGAACTTAAGTCTTTTGGGGACCCTGATTTGATAACAGTGCAACAAACTGCCTGAAAGGAATAGGTTTTACTACAGCAGCTAACTCTCCAATCACCCCCACCCAGATATAACCCATGAGATCTTAATTACTCTCACCCTAAGGGATGTCCTGGCCGAACTCAGGCACTTAAGGGTGACTTTGTCACCTTCATTGATTTTAGTTAAGTCACAAAAACTGCTTGTGCTTTGAGACCAGTATTCAGGCTGGGATTTCTTTCCTCCTGTCTATTCCCCTTCTTACTTTCTTCTCTTACTTCTTCCTTCCCTCTGCCCGGCTTAGCCAGACAATGCTGCATCTCTGTCAGTATAGCTCCAAGCCCAGAACTGGACAGGCAACTTAACCCAATGAACCTGGCACTGTGTAAGTTCGTCCGATCTCCTAGGGCATGTTCATCCTGCATTTGAAAAGCACTGCAAGGCTGCTTTCCACCTTCAGTCAGTGCAAATCACTACACTTAAGCACACGCCCCATCGCAGGTTTCCCCCAGCACGCACTGGGAACCCCTTGTGCCATCCCAACAGCCGAGTGTAAAGATCCATTCAAATTCTGACATTTGCTGTTCCCTTTTTCCCCATGATAAACAGCTATGAATGTCAAATGTCAAATGACAACAGTT